GGTTCCAAGAAAAGCGGGAAAACAGCTCCTTATCCCACAGGGAGAATCAGCCTGGAAAGGCTTTGTGGCTTTACCTCTCCAGGATTTCCTGTTCCCTTTGGTAAACACCTCCCTGAGGGTGTTTATCCCACAGAACCTGGGGATAATTCCCCAAAGAGGGAATGTTTGGGATACAGAAGGATTTGAGGAACTGCTTCCCCTTCCTGCGGCGCAGGACACGAACCGAGCCAAGGATTTCCCGGAGAAGCCGCAGGACTCGGAGCCCTGATCCCCACCCTGCTGCACCAGGACACAGCTTCCTCATGGAACAAGTTGCCACACGTTAAGGCTGGCTCTGGACATGGTTTTGCAGGACTGGAGAACAGGAATTTCCAAGCTGTCTCCTCCAAATTTTCCTCCGGACCTCTGGGAAGCAGCAGCAAGAGTTGGCACTAACCGGGAAACCTGGAAAAGGTTCCTTCTCCCTTGGCATTTTTCCTGCCAATCCCCACATTCCTCAGGGCTTAATTGTCCAGGAGACTTCCAGGAGAGGTTGAGGACAAAGAGACACCAGAGCCAGAGGCTCCAGGATTGTAAACAGGGAACACAAAGCAGGTGGAAACTTGGAATAATCCGAGTTTCTGGGTTCAATGACATCCATTTCCACGTGCTAGACTTTGCTTCCTCCCAATCCCCAGATCCCTGCACGTGACCTCCCTTTATCAGGGAAGTGTTGGCACACAGGGTTATGTGGGGACTGATAAGAAAGAGATAAAAAAGCCCTTTATCTGCCCATTCTTTGCCTCACAACCCTCAGGCACAGAAAGAGGTGCCAAAAAACCTGGATTTATCAGCCCAAAATCTGCTTCAGCCGTAGCCAACTGATAAGATGCTCCCAACAAGGACTTTCCCTGCTCTCCCTCTGTTCCAAACCCACACTGAGAAGCAGAAAACCTGAATTTTTGGCCTGTTTTAAACACCTTTCCCAGTAATTCAAGCCCCTGATTTCTTGTTCTGCCTCCCCAGCCCAGCAGAGAAACTTCTCTCCTTTTTTCTGCAGCCACTTTTCCCAGGTTTAAAGCCTTTTGTCTCTTCTCAGGCAGCTCCAGACTAAACAATTCTCATTCCTTAACTCTTTCCTTGTAAATCCCGAGCCAAATTCTTCCAAACACCTCTGTTATTCCACACCAGATTCCCAGTCTGGTCACTGCCTCCTCCTGTGATCCTGTTCCAAGGCTTTGCTTTTCATGGGAATATTCATCTCCAGGAGGAACTTTTCCTTCCAGATGCATCAAAACCCAATGAAATAATTGGTGTTACCCCAATTGAGGTGCCCAGAGCAAGGAAAGGGCACAGGAATTGAGCTGGAAGGATGGGAGGAATTTCCAAGGATGAGAGGAATTTCCAAAGTGGATGAGAGGTGACACTTAAGAAAAACCTGAGCGTGAAAAGCAGCTTTTCCTTGATGTCTGCAACTGGACTCCTGGAATTTGCCGGGGTTTAGACACCTAATTCAGGCTCTGAGCAGGGCCAAACGTTTTAAGGTCTGCTTGGAGCCAGATCCAAAGCTTTCTTCGCTTCCAAAGGGTTCATGCCTCCTCTGCCACTGGTGCTGCAACACGAGCCAGGCAGGAAAAGGTTGGAGCAATCCCTGGAAAAAAAACCTCCAGGAACTGCTTCTCGGTTTATCCAGTGACTGTGCAACTTTGTGTGAAGGTACTTGTGTCCTGGGCTCCCCCCTGCTGGCTTTTGCCCTCCCTTTTTCCCTTAAAAATCTGGGATATTGATGGAAGAAAGGGCTATTTTTGAAAGCCTGAAGTGAACAGAGCACTGAATGTTCGGGGGATGCGGCTCCAGCTGCCTGTGATTTTAGAACCAGCTCAATCATTACTTTTTCCAGTCAGGTCTAGGCCTTTCCACCTTCCCTTCACCATTCCCAAGCCCTGCCATCCCTCGCATCGGGGTGGGAAAGGTGAAATTCCCAAAAAACCAGCCCCCGACCCGGCAGGTTCCCGTCCCCTCCCAGCGCCCCGGGGACGCGCTGCCCTTGGCGCGGTGGCTTCGAGGCTGCCAAAGATCACATTCCCAGCTGGAAAACATTCCCGGCTTGTCCCCAGGGACCCCCCCAGGCAGCTCCTGCACGTCTCCTCCTTGGCATTCCAGCTGTGGCTTGGCCGGGATCGGGGATGCTTTGGGGATGCTTTGGGGATGCTTTTTGGGGGCAGACCGTGAGACCCCCCCCGTGCCTGGGCAGGTCAATGACACGGCGCAAACCGAGGGGGACAAACCCAAAACCCCCCACAACCCATCAGACCGGGCGATGATCCACAACCGGGCTCTGTTGGCACATGGATGAGGAGCCCCAGGACTGGGAATACCCTCCAAGCTGGGAGGGGGGTGGTCCAAAACCGCTCAGGGTCAGCCCCAGGTACCGCCCCCATCCCAAATCCCCCCGTAAAGTCCTGGATCCGCCCTGGCTCCGCTGCTGCTTCCTCCACTCAAAAACCCTGAGCCCAGTGCTGTCCCCATCCCAGGGACGCTCATCCCGATCCCATTCCAGCCCCTGATCCCCCCACCTCTCGCCCCCCCAACCCCTCCCCGCGGCCCCGCACCTGGCCAGCAGCTCCAGGAACACCACGTTGCTGCAGCAGCCGCCGAACACCAGCCCCACCGCCAGGGCCGGGTGCATGGTGTCGCTCCGGGCAGCGAGGCCGCGTCCCGGGCCGCCCCCGCATCCCGATCCCGGGATCCTGCCCCGCTCCCGGCCCCGGCCCCGCCGCCCCCGCTTCCTCCGCCCGCCGGTAGTGCGCTCCCCGCCGGCCGCCGGCACTACAACTCCCGGCAGCCTTCGCGCCCCGCCATCACTAGTCCCTGTGGGTGCCCCGCCGCGGGGCACGATGGGAGTTGTAGTTCTGGGGTGACGCCGTGATGGCGGCGCAGAGGTGGCGGCAGGAGGAGGCGGGAGGGGGGGGAGGCTCTTTGCGGGGAGGAACGACCGGGGATTGACTTTTTGGGGTTATTTGGTGCCAGTTAAAAGCAGCTCCTGATGAGTCTGCGCCAAATAATTACTGGTTAATAATTATACGCCCAAATAATATGTTCAGAGTAATGATTGTTATTGAAAGGCTGGGAATGCTGGGGGGGTTCACCCGGAGAAGAGAAGGCTCCAGGGAGACCTGAGAGCCCCTTCCAGGGCCTAAAGGGGCTCCAGGAGAGCTGGAGAGGGACTGGGGACAAGGGATGGAGGGACAGGACACAGGGAATGGCTTCCCACTGCCAGAGGGCAGGGAGAGAGGGGATATTGGGAAGGAATTGCTGGCTGGGAGGGTGGGGAGGGACTGGAATGAATCTCCCAGAGAAGCTGTGGCTGCCCCTGGATCCCTGGAAGTGTCCAAGGTCGGGTTGGAGCAACCTGGGATAGTGGGAGGTGTCCCTGGAGTTGGAACTGGCTGATCCTTAAGGTCCCTTCCCGCCCAAACCATCCTGGAATTCCATGATATTCAAGTTTCCCAAGAAACCAAAACCCATCATTAAAAGCCGGTGCCTCACAAGAGCTGTTGCTCTTCAGCTCCAGGGTCCCTCCGGCTGCTCCGTGGAAGCTGCTGGGAGTCCTTTTACAGATTTCCCTGGAATTTCAGGCTGGATCTGTCCGTTACTCACCAGTAATGAAAATTCCTCAGGCCCAACAGCTCCAGGGTTTTATTGACTTGTCAGAGCTCACAGAAAAACGAATCCTCACCCACTGCCCAGCCAGTGCTCACTAATTGCATTAATTTTGGCTGCTGAGCCCTTACTTGGTTGTTTAAATGCATTTGCAAACCAGATTATTATGACTAGACCACTTTATTTAAAAAAAAAAAATGTATTTTGAACTTGTTTTTTTGCTCCCAACTCACCTCTGAACATCTCACAAAATCCCTCTTCAAAATAATTCACTACTCCTGCAAGAGAGACAATATTTTCAGAAGAGCTGATGCTTCCACACCTCAATTAATTCCATAATATAGGGGAGGGGAGAAAAGAGAGAAATTAATGGAAAATACAGTCCTGTGGCTGTTGAGGGAAAAAAACATCTCCTGCATTTTTCCCAGCTGGGAAATAATTTTTCGCTTTGGGAAAGAGAGAGAAACGACTTTTTAATAAAGTTCTAAATAAATAACTATTTTTTTGAGGGCTAAGAAGAAATGGATTTCATAATAATCTTTGATGAAAATCGTTGTTCTTGTTAAAAGAAAGAGTTGGGGTGGCCAAGATTTTGGGGATGGGGCCATCAAGGGTTGCTGCTCTTCTTTCCATGTGGGATTGGAGGCAGGACAGTTCTGGAATTGGAGCCTGGCTGGGTGAGGAGCTGAGGGACGTGAGAACCTGACTTGGACTTGCTGGGTTTCCTCCGGAGGGTTTCACCAGCCCCTGCAGAAATGAAAAAAGAAGGGAAGAGCCACCAAGAGGGAGTTTATTCCAAGGAAAAGTCAGAATTTACCCCGAATTTTCAGTTGAAAACCCAGCGGGTTTGGGGGTGAAATCTCTGGGTTGTTCAGTGATTGCTCCAACTCATCCAGAGGGGGAGGAACTTTATGGATAAGCAGACACTGGGTTTAGTGTTTCTTTGGAATGCTGGAAGTGTCCAAGGCCCTGAGGGCTGGAGCCAGGCTGGGAGAGCGGGGAATGTTCCCCTGGAGAAGAGAAGGCTCCAGGGAGAGCTGAGAGCCCCTTGCAGGGCCTAAAGGGGCTCCAGGAGAGCTGGAGAGGGACTGGGGACAAGGGATGGAGGGACAGGACACAGGGAATGGCTTCCCACTGCCAGAGGGCAGGGATAGGTGGGATATTGGGAAGGAATTGCTGGCTGGGAGGGTGGAAGGCTCTGGCCCAGGTTGCCCAGAGAAGCTGTGGCTGTCCCTTGATCCCTGGGAGTGTCCAAGGCCGGGTTGGAGCAACCTGGGAGAGTGGAAGGTGTCCCTGGGGTTGGAAGTGGATGATCTTTAAGTCTCCTTCCCACCCAAACCATTCCATGATTTAAAGAAATTCGGAGGTTTGAGCTCCACCCTCGGTGCTTCCAGGTCTCTCTCCAGCTTAACCATTCCCAGACAAGGGAAATGCTGGATCCAGGAGGAAAAACAAAGCTCTGGATGCTCCTGGCACAGCCCAGCCCCAAATTCCAGTTCCAAACGGGGCCACAGAGTCCTCGGAGCCCCTTGCAGGGCCTAAAGGGGCTCCAGGAGAGCTGGAGAGGGACTGGGGACAAGG